ATTTATTTAGGTCCAATATGAAATGAACAATATTGGTCGATTCCATAAGAACCCACTCCATAGAGAGTCAAGTGTTGGAATAATCACAACAGAAATCAAAATCTATTTAAATAATCGAACATTGGCTGAGGGTATGCGTCTGTCGGCAGAACCGACTGATACTTTTTAACTTGTTTTGTAAGGGAATATTTTAAGTTTTCCCATTAAGGCATATATTTTTTAAGAACTACAAATCGTTACTTTTGTTTTTACTAAAAAATTACCCGGCGAAAAAAAAAAACCGTATTTTATGTTACTTATTTAGGACCTTTCTGGCAAAAATTATTTCTTTAAAAAATCACTTCTCCTTGTACTTTATAAAAAATACAACTCCCACCTTTTGGCTGTATATTTCTAACTTGTTACCTAAAATACTTGATTTCGAAATTCGGCAAGCAACTTCGTTAGTCAAAACTATTATAGATGCCATATATATCAGAATTCGACTACTGGAATATTTAGCACCTTAAGACTTACAATCGCAATTTAAAACTAATCTTTAGTTCATTGAAAAAAAAGTACCTCGCAAAAACCAAATGACCCCTCTGAATGACCTCAATGGGACAAGCAAAGAAAATACAATGACTAAAAAAAAACAAAGCACACAAATTGTTTAGCAATCATTGTTATCATTGCTAAACCAAAAAAAACGGTAACGTTTAGAGTGGTCGGTCATCTAAAATTGAACATGAGCCGAAAATCTCTTCTCAGTTTCCAAATGGAGGCCAATCATCCAAAATAAACCAACAAAGGAGAATGGAGGAAGCGAGGAGTGGAATTCTTAAGATGCTTCATGCTACACAGCACAGCCAGCACACTTGCTCTATTAAACCATTTTTCCTGACCTGACCATCGCGACCACTTCTTTCCCATCTTCGCCAACCGAAGAGGAAGTGGCAAATTACATTTAATTTTATCAGCAAAAACTGAAATGAAATCAAGCGCAAAATTTTCAAATTTCGAGGTCGAAACATTTTCGTGTTTTTTGTTCTGCATTTCAAAAGAGATTATTGTTGATCTGGCCAAAAGCAAAGGGCAAAAGTGTGGGTATAATGAAGGACTATTTAATGACTGTGGCGATGGTGGTGGCGTCGTTGTGTTCCTGTGTGTTGCAAAGCGCACGCGCACTTCTCCCTCAGAAGTTAAGCATAATCGTTGTAGTGATGATAGTGTTGTTGTTGTTGCTGCTGTTCCTATTTGGCGAAGGTGTCTTTGGGTATGTTTTTGGATGATTTTGCTGGTCAAAGAATTTCCAGAGACAATTTCAACAAATTTTATTGTTAAATTTAATTTGATTATTACTGCTGTTGTTGTGTTTCGGTTCGGTTCTCTTCTCGTTTTCCGGATAATTGCATTCAGGTGCAGAACTGTTTTGATTGCATTTACATCGTTGCCTTAAAAATGTGTCTGAGCGATAATGGTGCGTGTGAAAACCCCCTAACCAACTGAATTTTTGTATACCCTCCATCATACTATGGAGGGTTTATTAATTTTGTCATTCCGTTTGTAACTTCTCCATATCCTAATGATAGACCCTACAAAGTACATATATTCTTTATCAGCGTAAAATTCTAAGTCGATTTCGTAATGTCCGCCAGTCTGTCTGTGGTAATTACGTTATCTTTCGAACAAATTGAGATAGAAGGCTAAAATATTGCTCACGTTTGCATTTTGCAGGCCTTGTCCTTGTATTCCTTCATTGAAGCGGTATTTTTCGGAATTTTTTGAAAATTTTCAAGTTCCTTCCAAAGCTCGAACCGACTAAATTTAGCTACTTTTTGACTTGTTAAATGTTCGGTTTTATAAGAAGTCCATAAAACAAGTAAAAAAAGTAGCTAAGCTTGAACGTGCCGAACTTTTACTAACCTCCAACATTTGGAAGGAAATTGAAAAACTTAAAAAAAATCCATTGAAAATTCCGCACACAATGTGTTACAATTATGGGGCTTAACAAGAAACGTGAACCTCTACACCCAATTATCTGCCAGGCACCACCTTCTGCCTATTACGAAATCCAAATTCAAAGTTTAAGATATTTCTATTGAAAAACGTTTTATGGGGCCAATACAAAGACGTGAATTTCTATAGGCAATTTTTGTCAGAGGAAGTAGCACCCATTACATACCGAATAGTTGGAAGTAGAGTTATATAGGGGGTATACCAAAACGTGGACTTTTACAGCCCATTTTCAATACCAGAAGCCCTGCAGACCCACAATTTTACCAACCTACTTCATTTCGTTCGGATGCTAGAGTGGTTTCCACAGACGGACAGCGGAACGAACATCACTAAATCGTCATAGTATTATATACTGATCAAGAATATACAGGGTGAGATGGAAAAACTGCAACCAAATTCAGACTGCTGTCATTTCCAAGCCACTCATCCGACAGCTGTTAAAATTATTCCACTGATAGCTCATTATATTTTTTATAAGCGTACAAAAACATTTTGGCGAGAATTTCCCAGAAAGAAACTTATTCATGATTGAATTCAAGCGTTACAGGGCTATCGTGGCTATCGTTAAAGCCCTCCAGCATTTAAAAGTGAATAAATCTTCTGTGTATCGTACCATCGCTCGTTATCGTGATACTGGTAGCGTAGCCCGAAGGCAAGGAAGTGGACGGAAGAAACAGCAACATCAGCAGAAAATGTTCGAAACGTAAAGAAGCGACTTGATCGAAACCCGCGTCGCAGTGGCCGAAAAATGACTCGTTAGCTGAACATATCGCAATATTCCATTCGGCAAAAATATTGAAAAATGACCTCAGGGTTAAGCCATTGAAATTCAAAAAAATGCAAGAACTTAGACCGCAACAGAAAGAAAATAGACTCAAAAGAGCTAAAAGGTTGCTTCGCTTGGCCGAAAGTGGTGAACTGCCGAATTTGGGTTTCTTCCATGAGAAAACATTCCCTGTCCAGCAGTTTCTAAACAAACAAAATGATCGTGTTTACTTGTCAAAGAGGTCAGCTGAATGATGGTGTGGACCGCCATAACAGCCGATGGTCGCTCTCCGCTCGTATCAATCGACCGTGGCATCAGAATAAATGCCGAATATTATCGCAAAAATATTCTGGAGGGTGTATTAAAGCCTTGGGCATGCAAACATTTTGGCCACAGACCTTGGACATTCCAACAGGACTCAGCAGCATCGCACTCAGCACGCTCCAACCAAGAATGGTTACAAAATGAGGTTTCTCGCTTCATTTCCAGCGCACAATGGCCACCAAAATCTCCGGATACCAATCCGCCGTTGGACTATTGTGTCTGGAGTATTTTGGAAATCAAGGTTGTCACTAAAAAATACCAAAGTGTCGATCACCTCAAGCAAGCGCTTCGCCGGGAATGGGCCAAAATACCGCAGAGCAACATTCGGGCGGCGTGTGACGGTTTCATTGGCGGTTTGAATGCCATAATTCGTGCAAAAGGTGACCAAATGAACAAATCTGAACCTATTCTAAAATTTGATGATATTTCCGACATTTTTTGCTTTCATTCAATAAAATTTAAGAACAAATGTAAAAATGATGGCGTTAGAGTTTGTTGCAGTTTTTTTTTTTTATTTCACTGCATACCTAAAATGTAGGGATTCCAAGGAATCTTAATCAGAAAATTTTAAAAAGTGCCACCCCATTTTTGTAAAGGGCGTAGAAGTTGTTCCATGTTAAAGGTTTGAGGTTTGAAATACAAAATAACAAGTAAAAAAGCTGTAAGTTCGGCCAGTACGAACCTTAAATACCCTCCACAATTTGGAACAAATTTGGCAATTTCCAAAAATAGCAACCGTTAAAAATACGACGACGTAGACCTGCATAAGCAACTTTAATCATAATATTCAATTGCGAAACTTAAAAAAAATCAGTGAATAATGTAGCTAAAATCATCAATATACTGGTTATAGAGAGGTACCATTATATGGGGGCCATTCCAAAACGTGGACATGCACAGACATTTTTCTGTCATAGGCTGTAGTATTCGTTACGAACTTCAAATACCAAATTTGAAACAATTCCGGTGAATAATGTCGCTAAAATCATCAAAATACCGAATATCGGGAGGTACCGTTATATGAAGGCTTTACCAAAACGTAGACAGATATATCTCATTTTCAATATCAACCATCCTAGACATAATACAAATTGTTCTGCCAAATTTTGAAGCTCCATGTCAAATAACGTGGGCTGTATCGTGATTTCAACAGACAGACCGACACCGTTAAATCCACTTAGCATTTTAAGCAGATCATGAGTGCGGTCTACGACGAATACTTATGGATACACTCCTTTTTAAGGTGGAGTGTATAAAAATATTGCCGAAGGCACTATAGACCTAAAAATTCCGAGAAATTTTAGTCCAAAATTTTCAAAAGTGTGAAGGAGGTTGGAACTTACCCCTGTTCCACAGTCTTACAGCCTGTTCCACGATCTCGAAAGAAAATTTGTGCGAACGAAGGCTACTCACTCACTTTCGTATAAGAATGCGTTCCACTAACTTTCGTTCTTTCTTTCGCATAGCCTTACGTGATTCAGTGTTGCTAAATATTTTTTGAAAAAATTAATCGCGAAATAAGGCAAAAAAAAGCGCCAAATGTCTAATTTAAACGCGAAAAAGCAACTGTGTCTTTCTCTCAACTGACAGTTCAGTTGTAAACAAACAGATTGTAAATAAACAAACAAAATAAAATTTCTAGTGATTGTGTTCAAACTATTTGTGTTCTTAAAAAACAAAAAAAATGAATATTTCCGTAGCCCTATTTTTTATGGATGATGTGGAGGAGGTTCAAAATATGCCACGGAGGCATTTAAGAGATGCTTCGAATTTATTTGAAGTACCTAAAAACCAGTAAGTATGATTGTATTTTTACATTTTTGAAATAATAAAAAATGATTTTTTTTTTCTAGGGTTTTCTAGGTTTTTCGGGCTATTTTGGATATGATGGAAGAGAAGTGGGTGCCCGGTAGCAGAACTACCCAAATCCGCCCCGATTTAAAACTTCTTCTGCTGCTTCCAAAAATTGGCACTCCTCTGGCGAACTCAGATTCTCCTACATATACTCAACTAGTGCCCGCAGCTGTGTAGTTGATGATTTTTTCGTGCTGGAATTGAGAAAATAAAAAAAATATATTTGTTGTTCACATATTAAATTGCATTTATTATTTTTACTTACATTTTTGTTTCCATTTTCAATCAAGCAATGTTTATGTTAAAACAATTTTCCTTAATTGTTATCATACGACAGCGAACTCACAAGTGACTGATTTTGACATTTGTGTTCGCATGCGTACGAAAGAAAAAATATAGTGGAACGCAAAATTACACTGAAACGCTTACGTTTTCGTTCGCTTTGATTTTCGTGCAAATTTTCGTTCTGATGGATTTTAGTGGAACGGAAATCAGCTGTTTGTCGTGTAAAAGTTGTGCGAACGTGTTCTTTCGATATCGTGGAACTGGCTGTTACAGCCTGTTCCACGATCTCGAAAGAAAATTTGTGCGAACGAAGGCTACTCACTCACTTTCGTATAAGAATGCGTTCCAATAACTTTCGTTCTTTCTTTCGCATAGCCTTACGTGATTCAGTGTTGCAAAATATCTTTTTGGAAAAATTAATCGCGAAATAAAGCAAAAAAAGCGTCAAATGTCTAATTTAAACGCGAAAAAGCAGCAGTGGCTCTGTCTCAACTGGCATTTCAGTTGTAAACAAACAAATTGTAAATAAACAAACAAAATAAAATTTCTATTGATTGTGTTCAAACTATTTGTGCTCTTAGAAAATAAAAAAAAGAATATTTCCGTAGCCCTATTTTTTATGGAGGAGGTTCGAAATGTGCCACGGAGGAATTTAAGAGATGCTTCGAATTTATTTGAAGTACCTAACAACCAGTAAGTATGATTGTATTTTTACATTTTTGAAATAATAAAAAATGATTTTTTCTAGGTTTGTGGCCAACTTTCGTGTGTCGAAGGAAGTTTTCGGACTCTTTTGGATATGATGGAAGAGAGGTGGGTGCCCGGTTGCAGAACTACCCAAATCCGCCCCGATTTAAAACTTCTTCTGCTGCTTCCAAAAATTGGCATTCATCTGGCGAACACAGGATTCTCCTCCATTTACTCAACTAGTGCCCGCAGCTGTGTAGTTGATGATTTTTTCGAGCTAGAATTGAGAAAAAAAAATATATATTTGTTGTTCACATATTAAATTGCATTTATTATTTTTACTTACATTTTTGTTTCCATTTTCAATCAAGCAATGTTTATGTTAAAACAATTTTCCTTAATTGTTATTATACGATAGCAAACACACAAGTGACTGATTTTGACATTTGTGTTCGCATGCGTACGAAAGAAAAAAGATAGTGGAACGCAAAATTACACTGAAATGCTTACGTTTTCGTTCGCTTTGATTTTCGTGCAAATTTTCGTTCTGATAGATTTTAGTGGAACGGAAATCAGCTGTTTGTCGTGTAAAAGTTGTGCGAACGTGTTCTTTCGATATCGTGGAACTGGCTGTTAATATCGAAACCATAGGTTACTTGTCACTATTGCAAATGCTCTTTATTCTTAGCAAGAGTAATCAGATTATCGTATCTTGAAGAGACAATAAAAGAGAACAATGTAGTCATATCAATGTATTCGAAAATTTATAAATTTCACTCTCTGAGAAGCCAATATGTTTGTAAAGCTAAGTCTATGAAAAATTGGGTATTGTTTGCAATATATGTATCCCGACTATATGATTTACCACACAAGTGGTACTGAACAAAAAAATGAAACCATAAACGTTATTCACTAATCCTCAATATTTCACATTTTAAAATCTGGCATCTGTTTTCAGGGCATAATTTTCAAATTATTCTTCTTAACGGATTCATAGCAGCAACTATACCAAAAAACCTTTTTAAATCCTGACAATATGTCACATTTTTGGTTTTGTTTCAGTTGCTTAAATGTTGACAACAATTAAACCAAGTTAATTATGTTATTACCAAACCCTTGCCACACATTAAGTCTTGTAAGGATTCCGTTGGATAAATTATAGAAAAAACGCTTAAGTTTAAACATCTGCTACATTTTTCGACATCATGTCTGGTCGCTAAGCGCCAGTGTCAAATAAATTAAGAAAAAGTGTTAAAAATGAAAGTCTATTGGAAAAAAAGAACAACAACTACCAAAGTTAATGGCAACAAACTAAAAAACTCGGAAGTAAAGCTTAAGACAGGCAACAAAAAAAACACACACACACACAACTTAAACGATAAACGACAAATTAAGCCAAGAAGAAAAAGAAGCAGCAGAAAAAAATCCAAAGTGAAGACCTCCCAAAAACCATGGTTATTTAAGCCATTTTAAGTAGTCACCAAAAGCAGCTCAAGGCGTCAACATTTGAAGCGACATGAGCCACAAACTGGAACTTTTGCCAAGAAGTGGCAGCAGTCGCAGCCACAACAACAAAACGTTTTTTAGCAACAATGAAAACGATCGAACGAAGCTTCAATAGACGACACACGTGATGTAATTTCTTTAAGGATCCGCAATATGACAGTCCAAAACAACAAAAAAAAATCGTCCCTCAATAAAACTCACCAACAAACGACAAGGCGCGTGTGTGGCCATTTAGCCGTTGCCAACTTGAATGACAACCGGTTATTTGCCGAATAGCTAGCTGGCTGTCCTGTGTCAAAATGGGGCACGGAACGACTTGCCATAAAGATAATACTACAAATTATTGGAAAATAACAGTTAATTTGGCAGAACCTCATCGCAAAAAAAGGTGTCTTAACACACTCAAAAATTGTCACCTTCATAAATTAGATGGGGCCGATTCGTGGAATTTGAAGACCTTAAATATTTTGCCGAGATTGATTGATTTGTTTTAAGAAAAAAAACGTAATGGCATGGATACTAGAAGGCTCTCAAGGGATAAAGAAAGAAGCAAGAAATTAACGGAATTTGCAGTTATTGAGTTTTTTAAAATCTAAGACTAATTTTGGTAGACACTTTTTGTTTGGTAGACATGCCTGGCTTTTAAATCCAAAATGGATGAAAATTTTTTATAACCTCCACCATACATAATATGGGAGGTATATTAAGTTGGTCATTCCGTTTGTAGCTCATCGAAATTAGAATTTTAGGCATAACAAAGTAAAGCGCAAAGTATAATTCTAAGACTATTCAGCCCTGCCCGTCTGTCTGTCCGTCCGTCTGTTGTAAACGTGCTAGAGTCAAAACGAAAGATATGGAGCTAATATTTTGCACAGATCAGTCTTTTTTCTGTAAGCAGGTCAATTTCGAAAATGGGCTATATCGGTCCACGATATCGCATAACCTCCATGTAACGGTACCCCCGATATTCGGTATTTTAATGATTGTAGCAAAATTTGAAATTGTCTGAAAATCCACAAAAGAAGTTCCTTCTGGGTACTTACCCCCTGGAAGAGTATTGTCTGCTGCAAAAAAGTCAAACGCCATAATTATACCCTACACCACAAGGTGGTCAGGGTATTATGTCTTTGTGCATTTGTTTGTAACAGGCAAAAGAAAACGAGATAGACCCATAGTTCTTTTTGATGATCTGCCTAGAATTACATTCTGAGTCGATTTATGCATGTCCGACCGTCCGTCTGTCCATGTATTTTTGTAAACAAAGTAGAGTTCGTATTTATTGCCCTATCCAGATGAAGTTTTGCACAAATCATTTTTTTGGCCCAAGGACGAACCCTATTGAAATTGGAGATAATCGGTCAACATTAAGATATAGCTCCCATATATATCTTCTTCCGATTTGCCTTTTATTGTGCACCATACGTGTAATATTAGCCCGAATAGTATGGAATTTTGCACATACAACCAAATTAGGCCTGAAAATAAGTATGCCAAATTTGATCGAAATCGGTTCAGATATAGCTATAGCTCACATATATATTGTTCATCCGATTTGTTATTTTTGTCCTCCGCAGCCGTAATATGCACTCTGTAACAACAATATTTGGGGAAATATATCAAATACAGCTTAGAAATACATTTGCTAAATTTTATCGAGATCGGTTCAGATTTGGATATATATAACTTCGTCCGATTTACTTTTTTTGTGCACCAAACGTCTAATATTTGTCCAAATGGGATGGAATTTGGCACTTACGGCCGAATTGAGTCTTGAATTTAGTATGTCAAATTTCGTGAAGATCGGTTCAGATATAGCTATAGCTCCCATAGCCGTAATATGCACTCTGTAACAACGATATTCAGGGAAATATATCAAATACAGCTCAGAAATATGTTTGCCAAATTTCATCGAGATCGGTTCCGATTTGGATATAGCTCCCATATATATATCTTTATCCGATTTCAAATTAATTGTGCACCAAATGGGCAATACAAGTCCGAATTTAAAAGATACAAATGCTTCGGCATATTTAGTCCTTTTAATTGTTATGCGGAGCTCTACTATACTAGCAAAGTGGTGTAGGGTATCATAAAGTCGGCCCCGCCGACTTAAAGGCTTTCTTTACTGGTTTTTATGGATAATATTGGACCACTCCATTGGTACCTCCCTCTTAAATAATCAACTTTTTGAGCAATTGTAACACAAATTAGAATATACAGGGTGAGATAAAAAATGCTTTCCAAAATACTCCAGACACAATAGTCCAACTGCGGATTGGTATCCGGAGATTTTGGAGGACATTGTACGCTTGAAATGAAGCGAGGAACCTCATTGTGTAACCATTCTTGGGTGGCGCGTGATGAGTGCGATGATGCTGAGTCCTGTTGAAATGTCCAAGGCCTGCGTCCAAAATATTTGCGTGCCCAAGGCTTTAATTCACCCTCCAGAATATTTTCGCGATAATATTCAGCATTTATTCTGATGTCACGGTCGATTAATGCGACAACATCACCATGGCCAGCGCTTGGGTTCTGGTGGCCGAAGGTGCAGATTTTTAGCTGACCTCTTTGGCAAGTAAACACGATCATTTTGTTTGTTTACAAACTGCTGGACAGGGAATGTTTTTTCATCGGAGAAAACCAAATTCGGCAGTTCACCACTTTGGGCCAAGCGAAGCGCCTCTTTAGCTCTTTTGAGTCTATTTCTCTTTCTGTTGCGGTGTAAGTTCTTGCACTTTTTGGAATTTCAATGGCTTTACCCCGAGCTCATTTTTCAATATGGAATATTGCGATATGTTCTGCTCACAAGCCTATTTTCGACCACTGCGACGCGGTTTTCGATCAAGTCGTTTCTTTATTTTCGAACCATTTCTGCTGATGTTGCTGTTTTCTCCCATTCACTTCTTTGAAGTCCCAGTATCACGGTAACGAGCGATGGTACGAGACACAAAAGATTTATTCACTTTTAAATGCTGGAGTGCTCTAACGATAGCCACTTGTGCTTTTCCAGCCAAATATACAGAAATCACACTATCACGCTTGAATTCAATCACGAATAACTTTTTTTTTCTGGAAAATTCTTACCAAAATGCTTTTGTACGCTTGTAAATAATATAATGAGCTGTCACTGGAATAATTTGCTGTCGGTCGAGTGGCTTAGAAAAGACAGCACTCTGAAGTTGGTTGCAGTTTTTTCATCTCACCCTGTACAGGTCCACCAAAGCGTATAGTCCAAATACAACGGTCTTCCCCGATATCCGATATTTTGATGATTTAAGCGACGTTATTCACCCGAGTTGTTTTAAATTTCGTATTTAGAGTGTGTGATGGGAACTACAGTCTATGACAGAAAATTGCCTATGCAGGCCGAGGTCTTCATATAGGCCTTATATATCAATACCTTCCTATATTCGGTATTTTGACAATTTTAGGTACCTTATTCACCGAAATTGTTTGAAATTTCGTATTTGAAGTTCCTAATAGGTACAACAGCCCGTGATAGAAATAGTCCAGGTCTATATATTCGATATTTTGATGTCCTTTTTTTCAAGTTTCGTATCTAAATATTGTTATGGCTTATGACAAAAGTTGCCTTTGTAGGTCCATGTCTTCGTATAGACCCCAATATTACGGCTATATTCGATATTTCTAAGATTTGAAAAGAATTTTTTTCAAAATTTCCAAATTCGTTCCAAATGGTGGAGGATATTCAAAATACGGCACGAAAAGTAATAAATGGTTCTAAATTTGGAAAATATAAAGTAGTAGTTGTTACACCACGTCTGCGGAGTCTGATCATAAATGGCTCTACTCTGCAGCCCTGGTAATCCATGTACTCATTCATCGGCCCTAGTTTTGCCCTTGTTCCCATAATTTTTTTACAAAATATCAAGTCAAAATTTAAATTCACATCCCCATGGCCAGAGAATACAAAACATTCTGTAAACCTCAAATATCTTGTTTATTTTGTGGCAACAAATAAATCATGTGTTCAAAATTTCGGAGCGGCATTATAAAGACCCCTTATCTTTGGGAAATTTTGAATATCCACCGCTCTTTTATGTGTCAAAAGACATATTGTCCATGGCGCCAATATGCGAGTGACATCACAACAATGAAGAAAAAA